CCTCAAGTTGAACTTTTCCCAGCACCAACGCCTCTATCTCGGTTATGGTGTGAAGAAACAAAGGCCAGATTTAATTTTAACAAATTTAATTACCCGCAATTTAAGGATTTGTTTCGACGGTTTCCCGTAATGTCCAGAACAGAAATTTAGCATAAGAAACAAGGACAGTGCACATATCGCACGAGAAAACTGGCAAAAGGGACAGTAGTAATGTCTTGTATTAGACCAGGACACAATGGACTTGCGTCAGACACAGACATCAAACGGGAGCACCAGGCACGACATCACGGGAAAAATACTGACGTGACCATACCGAGGGGGCATACCTGCCACTTCGGCACAGTCTGAAACCGTCCCAGTACATTACTTGGTGTGAATATTAGACAGTAAAATCAATAGCGCAAACTGAGCATTCGCTTGATCCGCTTATGAAACGGTTTGTGTTTTGTGACTTCGCATAATGTTAGCAATTCCAGCTGATGAAGGCTGTGTAGATGCACATGGACACTCCTGCTAGTAGCAATACCCATGCAGTATACCTCAGAACATCTGCACAGAGGCTTTACATTGAGGCGAGTTCTCCAAAAAAGACTCTTTTGAAAAAAACATTATTGTGCAAGTGAGCAGTTAGATGCCTCGCAGTCGGCTGTAAGCCGTACCGTATAGTGTGCTGTCTGGGTGGTGCTGCTGAGAGAGGAGGCCAGCGGTGAATGAAGAGTGTTACTGTTATGCTTACGTCTAGCCAGCGGGAACACCCAGGGTTAGGAAATAAGCACCTGCCAGTCAGCCATCAAAAAAGTACCAACCAGGGAACGTGGAGTAGGGAAACTACGATCGATGCAGAGCCGCGCTCAATGACGGAGAGCGTATCACGCGTTGCAGCCAAAAGAGCAGTGATGCTGCGGTTAATGTGGAACAGTACTCAAATTTATAACGTCCAAGGCAAATCAGATTAGACAGATGTGAGTTTTCTGACCTTCTTATTCGAGGATTGACGATGAAGGTAAACAGGACTCATCTGTGACAAAGATACCAGACCCAAGATCGTTGAAAGAGTGAGCTTATCAAGTCTTTTATTTTGCAACCCCGATAGTGCCCTCTATTTAACTCAGTGTTACATCGCTGAGTAACGACTAAGAAATTTCAACCCCTCTAAACAGTCATAACTGAATCTGTCGTGCTTTTAAAAGCGCCAAATACCGAACACTGAAATGGACTGTCACAGTGTTACAGTAACAACGGCCCTGCCCAGTACAGACGCCTCTGTTCATACAGTGGATGTAATTTTCACGGCTGGGGAAACAAGGCGCCATTTAGTGGGAATATGCAGAAAGAAATGCGCTTTATGTACCACTGGCACACTAAGAGAGGTGAGAAAAAAGTCAACAACACCATGATCAAAGTTATTCCGCCTCTCTGTCATATAAAGGCAAGGTATGCTGCCGGTCACTGGTGGTGCAGTACGGCGTAACCTTGAAAGAATCTTCGCAATTCGTTGGTGTATGTCGGCAACTCATTTTAATGGTCTGAAAATTATCCACTTGAACAGAAAAGATTATCCGCTTTTGAGTCTGGCCTGTGGAAAATATGATGTTGTATGTTGATATTTGGGGGGGGGTTGTGTGAACTCGATCAAACTAAAAATTGAATGCAAAGAATATAAAACGTTTCCAGACAACAGCAAAAATAACGTTTTCCTTTCATGAATGAAGCCAAACCCTTCAAGTCCTCTTAAGTATTTTTAGGATAAAGTATTTTTTCCAGAGATATCTTTTGTTTCTCTCATATGAACTCAAAGTCAATAACAAAGATATACTAATGTCTAACAACACCTTCTTTTTGTGCCAAATTGCCAGTAGTTATTGCCAGTATGAGTTAAACTGGACAAAGTGCGGAGTAATTTTCCTATTACAACTAACATTTCCAAAAAGTACCATTGACAACATTCAAGTATTTTTCACACGTATAATGCCTCTGAATATCTTTCTTCAAAACATTTACTGAGGGGCGTTTACCGTTCATTTTCATTTGAAATCTAGAAACTAAGAGACTAAAATTAAGGCATCTAAGTCTAGTGTCAGTAACACCGAAGAGTAATAGTTGATTGTCCATTACAAGCTGAATCTTAGTTTTGTCCTTAATCCAATCTACTGATGAATTCCAAAAAGAAAAGAAACAACATATAATGGCAATTACAGAAAAGGTAAATAAGGGTTTCCTCTTAATCTTTGCAGAAGGTGCAGACATTAGAATCTAACTTATTACCCAGTATTCTGTGAATTAATCGGAAGTGAAACCATTTCAGTTTAGAGTCAACCGCACATATAAAAGGTATATTAACAACTTGAGACCACCCATCCAAACTGTAGTTGATTCGAAGTTGCCTTTCCCATTTGTCCACCAACATTCTGGCCACAAGTTTAGCTGAAACAAAAATATCGTACAGTCTCCAGGAGCCCTTTTACCGGACAGAAGAACGTTAATATTGAAGGGAACAAAGGAGAAAGGAATGTTATCATTCATCAAGAAATTACGATATGCAGCCTTCACTGATCCTATAACAGCACAACTTGGTTCGGACATTAAACTTGGCCTTAAAATCAGCCAATGATAAAAAACAATCGTTTTTATCCAAAAGACTACATGTGTGATCTTTAGCATAAAGAATAAATTCCACTTCAGGACAAACTTATTCTTGAGACAACTACGAATATGAGCGAGTTCCCTCTTAGAATTTCAAAATACTGTATTGGATCCCTCTTTGAAAGGACTATGCGTAATGCAGGGTATCTTCACGATAACTTTTGGTTAATCACTCGCTTTGGATATAGACAACAGCATGCGCCGGTTTGGAAAAAGTCAAGAGTAGTTTTTTTTATAGAATTGTGCATTCTTTGTTGTACAACCACGAATGTCAACACGAATCGCACCTGTGACTGGTCTTGCCTGAATTGATATTAGCTGATATTTTAAATTTAATACAAATATCCGTCAATTGTTTAGCGATTTAAGCGCCAGCGAAACCATTATAAAGATATCTTGATGGTTACCTTTAGGCTACATTTATTTCCTTCGAATCTCAGATTAGCAGCAGTTGGGCAAACTTCCGTTTTCCCGTCGGCCCTGCCAGCGCCTCAAATTCTAAACACGATTACCTCATCCAGTACGTAATGCTATTATTCAAAAGGGGAGGAGGAAAACTGTTACGAGCAGAGAAGTGAGCTTAGGCCGGACCCAAAAGCAAATTTACCGATCTTCTTCGGGACACCGTGAAGCGCTTGTCAATCACGGGAGTTCGCCCAAGCAGCAGATAAGCCTATCCCCTCCATTCAATTACAAGTTAAACTTTTTTGGGTTGAGAATGAACTCCAGGCCTCGTATTATGACTGTCTTGACCTTTAGACTCGATGCCCAGTGCCTGTATGACAGCCCGCGTGAAGAGCTATGTCGCTAGATATGATTCATTAAGCTACTCTGAGTGACTTCTAAATAATAAGTTGCGCGTATAGCATAATCACAAAACTCAATTTATTTTAGTAGTTGTTCCTCTTCGTTGGTGGTTTTTATTTTCTAGCACTGCTCTATCCTATATACTCACTCCACACTATCTGAAGTCTGTATTTCGTTTGGTAAGCGCATCGTAAGTTGCAATTTATTCGTTTCACTGTATTGGCGGAAAGGAAGACTCAAGCCTCTGTCCAGAATTTCAAATTTGTTTAATACCGGTATTAAGTTTTATCATATCGCAGAATACTTCTTTGGGAATGCTGAAATTGCATTCCAAGGACGCTTTATGGATTTCGATTCCAAATAACACTGCGTATATAAGAGTTTCCTATGTAAGAGACTTGGCTCAACACATCTGAGTAAAACAGTCCAACAAGTGGAACAGGAAAGAATCTTTCGCCTTATCCTTATACTGCTCAAACAAAATAAAATATCTTATGTAATACAGTACACTCCTGCAAACCCGCAGGTATATCTAACACAACACTTTCTTTGAATTACTCTGGGTTTTAAATCCCCCCTCTACCCCTTCATCTTCAACCCTGGCCCAACCCTCCTGATGGAGGCTTTCTCTCTCTTTTTTCACTTGTTTTAGGAGCATTGGAGTATCTATCACCCTATTGTCCCAGCACCATCACCTATCCATCTTTCTGTAGGCCTCAGGAATATTACATACCACTTCAGTATACTGTGCATCACCTCGACAGGCTATATTTAGGGCAGTGAGAGACAACTATTCTATTCCCTCAGATATCCAGTGTCGTAGGAAATTGGGCCGGGCCCGCTGGGATAATGTTGAGATTGTGCGCAAGAAATTGCTATCGCCCCAAACATTACAGCGTTTGGTCATAGACCGTTTCCTGCGAGATCTGAAGAAAACAGAAAGTCGAGCCTGTTGGATGTGACTCATGACAGCATGAAGCACTGTTCCCAATAATTGTTCATGATTTATAATATATTAAATCACTGTGTTTGTCTCTGGAAAGTAGACTCAGACTTATTTTACATGGAAATAATTTCTTCGGCCTTCCAATAGTGCAAAGGTTTTGATTAGAGTTTGTCGAACGCGGATGCAGCGCGTTTATTTATGACACTGTTTTCGTCAATCTGAAATCCCATAATTGTTCTATTTAAGGAAAAGATATAGTTTTTATGACATCATCATCATCAAGCCTGTAAGATCAACAAAACCTTTGCAAAATGCAAAAACTGTCGCAAATTGCTTTGTAGATACAATGACCTCAAATACACAAATCGAAAAAAAAAATCAGAGGCCCTGACGTTTTGATCCTACCAGAGTCTTTCTCGCCAGCACAAAAAAATTTATGCTCACATATGCTCACATTTAAGCTCATGTCGGAGCATATCAACTGAGACAAAATTGCTAGGCGTTCAAAGTTGTCAACATTTTGTCTAAAGACTATTTTGGCTGATAATGGCTTTTTTGCACAGTTAAACGGGCCATCCGTGCCAGCAAGTAAGGTGGAACTTACCCCAAGCTTGATCCAAGTATAAGCCACGCATAGAGCAGTCGCAGAAGTCCCAAATACAAGAAGTGGTACATTGTCTCCTACGGTATAAGTTCCTGATTCACTCAACGCCCGTCCATCCAACGACGTTAGCTTATTCAGACACTCATGGAAGTTGCTTTCAGTGCTTTCAGTATTATTTTGGCCCCTCCGCTTTGAAATTCGTCCGTCCTCATGCGCCCTGGCAAGCCGGTTTGTGTTGCTATCCACTGTGCCGATAGGCTAAGTTGAAAAAATGGGCGGTGCGAATCCTCTTACTGGTAAGTGTAACACAAGGATCTTTTTACATTTACTGGTGTTCTAAGTTTCTCTCTGGATCCCTTGTTATTGGCAGATAGGCAGGTGAACTGACGTCGGCCAACCCACCCACGTTATGACGGGCATTGAAAACGCAGTCCTGAAGTGCCGAACCCTGATTGGCTTAATCTTAATTGCTTAACTTTGGCAAAGGCTGACTACAATGTGCATGCGTCGTCGGCTGCAGCTTGGCCAAACGGCTCGGAGTCCACGCAAAACAAACTGTCTGTAACTTCCCTCATTTGCTGCTGGGTATAATAGTCAGTCCTGTGACCGAAGCACATGGCCCTTCACAAGTTTACGGTTTTATGATGGGGCGCATCAAATAGCTTTGGCTCTTTGGTGTTTGCTTTCGCATTGTCTACATCGTGCTTGAGATCGCATTGATCAGTGCTGGTGGTTTGCGAGTTTTCTTGCAATAGTTTAGGCAAATACATACATGTGTGAATATACGTACACATATGTACTGCCAAATGATAACGTTCCACCGTAGACGGATAAGGAAAAGTTTTCCAGACAAGTTTCACGGTGCATGGAGATATAGGTCTCGCAGTGTATGTTGTGGATGTACATGTACATGTACATGTAAAGCCATTGCAATTCGTCAGCGTGTCATCATCCAAATCCCGTTGGCTGGGTCCAGTTGAACGATAGGTTTGCGAGCCTGGACAAGAGGGGAAGAACGCGCGGATTAAGGCTGAAATCTCTCCCTTGAGTCTTTGTCGAAGGCATGAGCCGGTTCGTTCGAGGGGAAGCTGAGCCGTGTTTTTCTTGAGTACACTTGAAGAGATTTTGTGGTATTTATCTCCTGTCTTGTTCTTATAGCCAGGCTCATATCCGACCATTGTCTGCGCCATGACGATTAGATGTAACAATTTTCCTTTTTCAATTGTATAATGAACGACAGTGGTGGCCATGTTTTAAGCTGTCCTTGTTCTGTCTTGGCCCAGTTTCGTGCAGCTGGTAACATTGTAAGCAGGAAAAATTGCTTAACCCACAGATTCGTCGAGTGTGTTGAAATGAGCACCGATCCGACGTGAAGCACTCCCAGGAGAGTATGGATCGCATGGCTTGTGGGCTGGTTATCTGTTTTCGTTTGGTTTGTTATCTTTTATTCCCGAAAAAAATGCCTTCTGTGCTAAGCAAATATATACGTGCTTAGTGGCTCCATGAAGGACTGTGCGGTCGACAATCCCGCAGTTGGTGCTTTGGAGTTAACGAATCACTAATAAAATACCTCCAGTGTGAAAACCAATTAATTGAGTTTTCCCGCTTTTCGAGATTCCTAACACCTTTGTCCCGATTAACTGTTTAATTTTAGTCTGTTTTTCATTTTCTCAGCTGTTTTCGGCACCGTGCACATTGTCTTCCATTCACCGATGGATTTGAAAGTGAAGGTTGCAAGTTTTTGGTGTCATGTCAACCTGAAATCAATTCCAGAACTTTCACCGAAAAGAATGGCACAGTTAATTTTGGAAGAGAACATTATGCTTATATATTATCCATGAGTATTTACAGAAGGATATTTATGTGTAAATAAACTCCAGTTCTCAAAGAAATGCTAAATTTGGGACCTAATCCATTCACTCAGTGCCCATTCCTTTACATGATTTTTTTCCCCATCGGGCAATCCTTTATTCAAGAAGTTCTATCATTTTAAAAGGAGGATTTTAAAAGAAGGGGCATTGTGGTATTAAAATCAACTCTTACTAGTGAACAACTCTTGAAATCGCGACCTCAAAACACACACAAGTGGAGTACAGCGGGAGTCCATTTCCCAGGTGACCCCTGGGCAACGCTACATTTCCCCTCCACGGTACTCTGCGCGACCCGGTTGGTCCTGTTAGGCATGCGGTTGAGAGTTCGCAGCTCATTGACAAATTACTGTTCCAGTGTGTTGAGACAAGAACGAACGGATCGAATTACAGCTGGACGGATCTGATGACGTGTATCAATTCATCACCGTGAGAAACATCTGGGGGTCTTCCTATACAGTGACGAAAGACCACAAAATCAAAACGTGAAACCAAGTGCATTATTTTATCCTATGTTGATAATATACGGATGTGAATCTGGCATCCACCAAAAAAACAAAAACAAAAACCAGCTTATATACGTTGCGTTTGAAGATATAATATTGGCAATCATAAAGGCTGTTGTAAAGGGCGGTCGCATCAGTTGATGGTTGAAATCAAGTTGCTGGCTTTTCTCGGGGGGGGGGGTTGAAAGGGTGGATTTACTTAAAGCTAGTTTTAATGTCAAATAGGAACTTCATTGGGAAGTTTAAGAAATCGAAACCCAGCTTTTAAAAGTTCAATTGTGTCGGAGAACTACAGCTTTGAAGAGGTCAAAATTATTTTCCTTTGAACCAGTCCCAAATGACAAAATTTATTCGCTTCTCTTAAACTTTCATGGCGTAGGTTGCTTTCCGACAAGTTGCAGGACAAGCAATTCTCAGTTCCTGAACATCAGTATACATGTACATAATGTTATTTGAATAGTGATATGTAGCTTTAGGTGCACTTTATGTTTCATTAAGAGTGGGACTAAGCTGCAATCTACTTTGAATTGAGAGTGTGAAGTGTTAGATCTAGAGAGTACACGTATAAGGGGTATGTAAAATTTCAAAGTTGAAGAGGCGATTGTCAAAGAATTCTTCGTTCATGATACTTTGCATTTCTTCAACATTCGAAGGAGATCCAAAATATCCCAGACTGCACTCTATTCGGTGACGTAAACCAAAATTTATTGCTTATCTGTGTTTTATAATGACTGTCGGAGTGCAGGATGTGGCTACCTCACAGCACAGACTGCCCGAGAATGTGACGATAAAACTACGGCGCAACATCAGCGGAATTCGGCGGTGCACCTTTTATCACCGACTTCGCCCCAGCCAGCATTGAAGCGCGACTGTATTGAGCGCTGAGCGCAAGACCACTACAGGTGAGAATAGCCCTTCATGGCCGGTAGGTGCTGGGAAATGTCACCGAGAAACTGAACGCTGCGATGCAGGAAACACCGTGCACTTCTCGGGGGAGCTGCGCGGAAGTCCTGCCCAATTAAGACCATCAAGACCTAACCACATGGGCATTGCGCCTGCAGCCTCCCTCATACCCAGGCTAATTCGCAATGGCCGTGCCGGGAGGTTTGTGTGCCAAGTCAATTTTTCCTTATTTTTGTTGCCCAGGATTTACTTCACTCTAACGTCAGAACTTTGTTGGTGCATGACTTAAATTTCACTGACAGATAAACGGAAACATTTGTAGAGGTAGGGAGGGGCCGGTTAAATGAATGCCTGTGCCTATTACGAAATTGGATATACCTCGCAGCTGAGCCTGCTATCGACACCTGCATGCTTGTCGACCATGACTTCGCCCTTTTCTCTTTAGGCTCTCTCTCTCTCTCAAGGGGTGATTTTTTTTTCACAAGCTTTAGTCTCGTTCTAGCTGATCATAACATTTTAGGCAAAACAACACATTACTTTCTATTCAAACAGTGGACATACCTTAACAGTTAATTTTTCTAATGAAATTTTTTAAAAAGGGATTTGTTCTGTGACCAACGTAGAAGCCATCGAAGCACATGCGTGTTTCGTATGGTATCTTCTTAGAAGACCTCGTGCTGCGCTTTGCTATTTACATCGGCACAAGTTGCTATAGCCTACTCAATCTTTAGGTAAAAAGCACTTGTAAAAAGGAGAGTACATGTATTTTGTTTTGACATATTTGTTGGCATAGCCTTCACTTTCCACATGGTTTGGCTTTTGGTGAAAATTCGTACATTAAAGTATACGATCATTTTGTTGGAAATACCCACTTGCGCCAATAATAGCGCTTCCGATCCTTCCGAAAGTACGGGGGACCAGCCGTGAGTGCGCCCTCTATTTAGAAAATTCGTTCAATTGCCATGATGGTTCTGGCGCTGAAATTTTTAATGGTCGAGTTCAGGCCGCCTGTTCTTGACACGGCTTTCTTGTTCTCGCACTCGAACAGCCGGAACACGATCCAAAAACGCTGTTCTCAGAACAGGATCACACACCACCGTCTCGTCGGGGTTTTACAGGAACACACGGAAAACCTCTTGAGATGTTGATGTTTGAACAGCCGTAAGAAATAGCGATATGGCTTACAAAGCCGGAGACAATGGGGAGTTTTACCAAATTACCATTAATAATTTTCCATAACACAGAACTGAATGTACCTTTTTAATAGACAAGAATTCAGCCAAGTTATCAACACATTAACCTTGAATAACGTACATGGACGCAGCCATTTTGCCGCTAACTATCAGAGATAACCGGCTGAAAGTTTTCAGCGTTCAAGCGGCCGACCCACTGACAACGAAAGCTGTTCGTGAACATACAAGACTGCGCTGCCCAAACTCAGACTAAGATGCGCTTTTTTTTATAACATCCAGAATCATTCACCCTTCGTGGGGGCGCTGTTGCTGTGATGCCATCCAGGGAAGACGTGCATAGGCCTACGGGTACGCGTTCAAATTGTTAAGCCAGCCTTTACTCACTAGAAACATTCCTGAGAACGGTTGCTTGCTTATTTCTGTGTGTCTGCATGTAGACAACAACAAATCACCAAAGAAAACAACATTTACGCCAGCAATTTTTTAATGCCGGAGTTTTTCTGCATAAACCAATGCAACACTAAGGCTTCCTCTCTGGGATGGCTTCACAGTTTTTCTCATGAATATGGAAATATCGTTAGCATAAAATTAATAAAGACATCAAAATACCGTTGTATATACATTGGAAATGAGGCTAACTGAGACCAAAAGGTTCATTTTGGACCCCTGTATGTATGAGAACAAAATCCATTGCTGCTAACCTTGTATATGCCTTTCTGGACAACAGGGGGCGTTGTTGATATGATGTAAAATCAAGGAAAACCGCTCAGATTGTAAGTCTTTCTGTTCAAAAGGAGAACAGTGTGCACCCTGTCTCAAAAAATAAATCAAAATTTGGAATGAGTTTAATTTAATTACAAAAGTGATTTCCCGAAAGATCTATTAATTAAAAATTGAATTGCATAGACCCTTCAGTGGCAGCACACGTGGGCAACTCTTTGTATTTTGCCGTTTGCCGGTGTGGGCTAAGATTCGGTCCCCTGGACAAATTTGCCCTGCCTTGTCTAGGATATTGTGTCTCCCCGGACAGTTTGTCCTAGATTATTCGAATCTGCCCACCTTTCACATCGGAGCTTAAAGCCTTGGAGGTTGCACCACCTCAAAATAAGCCCCACTGAAGGTGTAAAATCAGGGCCAAATGCCATGCAAGCCGACATCACTGCAGTTTCTCAAAAACAAAATTTAAAACAATATCTTGTCCTTCGTCTTTCCATTTATTTTCAATATTTTCTGCATGGGTAGCCAACTGAACTTTAAGTTATTCACACAAAAATAAACTCACCTTCCGAAGAGTTATAGATTCCACATTTACAAGTAGGGTAGCTATTTTACAAATGGCATCCCTCTACGTGCTAGGAAAACCCTTACCCATTCAATATGTTAGCAACTCTACCCCAGATGGAAACTGCAAAAACCAAGGATTTGATCCTAGGGTAAATATGCCAAATATTGAGTAAAGAAACTAATAAATCCTAATTATGCACGCATGCGCACAAACAGCCTTGGCGGCAAGAATCGTGAGCGGGCCATTGAAAATGTACAAGGGCTGCGACTTTGATGATCGGGTTTTCTCAAGGGCTCTGGATTTGTTCAGTTTTTCTTTAGAAAATCCCACTGAGTCATGTTTGCTATTAGTTTCTCATTTAAGTGGAATTTTTAGTGCTCTGTAAAAAGATTTTAACATCGTAATTTTTCTTGTGCGCACGAGGTCGTCGTTTCTTAGTATGGCCCCCTTCCATCATAAGTAGCATAAACTCCATCGTTAGTGTTCTTGGAACCAACCTGGACATTTTGTAAAAACACGTACATGTACAGATGTTGGTTCAATGTACATGTACTATGTACTCTCTCTCTCTCTCTCTCTCTCTCTCTCTCTCTCTCTCTTTCGGTAGTACTCCAAAGCTATGACCAAGCTCAGTGGTAAGCTATGTACATTTAGGTACAGTATACACATGTACATCGAACATCGGCACGTGTTTTTACAAAATGCACAGCTTGGCTCCAAGAACACTAACGATGTAAGTTTTATATACTACATGTACGTATTATGGAAGGGGGCTTTACTAAGAAACGACGATATCGTGCGCATAAGAAAAAATATGATTTCAAAATCTTTTTACAGAGCACTAAAATTTCAACTTCAATTAGAACCTAATAGCAAAAATGATTTAATGAGATTTTCTGAAGGAAAAAATTAACAAAGTCAGAAAACCTGAGAGAAAATGATCGTTGAAGTCTCGTACATTTTCAATGGCCCGCTACACTTCCTGCCGCCAAGGTCATTTGTGCGCATGCGTGCATAATTATGAATTTATTAGTGGAAACGTCTATTAGAGAGATAATTTCTACTGAGCTCATTAACACAAAAGTAGCTTCTTTTGAAAAAGAGATTGTTTGGCCGAAAAAATTGACGGATTGTGGAAATATGTCCAAGATCAAATCCCTAGGCTTGGGCGTTTCGATCGAAGGACAGTACAGAGTTGATAAAATTGCGAATGGAAAACGGCTTCAGTGCCAGCGAAAGTACAGGAAAGCCATTTGAAAAATGGCTGCGATTAGGCGTGGGAACTGTCACTTTTCGAAGGGGCGAGTCTGTTTTATGTGAATGATAACTTGTTATAAAAATTGAGCAAGTTGCAAGACACAAACGAACATCAGCTTGAACGTTAAACCATGGAGGAGGGTCTATTCCTTCCTCCGTGATTAAACTAACTTGCTTGAACGCCTCAACCTCTTGTCGCGATTTTCGAGCTATCAGAATGACAAAATAAAACAGGGAGTTGTACCTAAACGGAGTTTATATAGTTAGGCCTTGTATCAAACCAAATGTTTCATATTCTGGCGATGGAAGGAATACGTTCTATCGGAAACATTCTATTCACAAAACGATGATTCATAAATGCAGTCCGTCACCTTATGAAACAATGCTTGCAGTCAAAACCATTCCTTCGCTGTAAAATTTCATGTCAGTACATGTACCGTCATTTTGTTGGAACAGATATCAGGTAATTTCCAGAACCTGTCGAGCGAGTATAATGCGTTCTACCCAGTCGTGAAATCAAACCTGGTGACTCAGAAATTCAAGGGCCTCCAGTCCTTGCTAGTTCATAATATATCTTAAGCAGACACCTTGGTTGTCCTCAACGAAGTCACTAGTCCGTGCTTTTCCTGCACTGTTTTGAAAATGAGCTGATGAGAGTGTGTGGTTTGTACAAATATTGTAAACACGCACAAGGTTGTTATTTTGTCCAGCAATTCAGTTGGCTCAAGTTACCTAAATGTCCAAAATTTATCCACCAATCGTATGTTTCAAAACAGCTTGCACTGGACGACTTGAGTTCTTTAAGCAGTCCCCCTGGGGCTCTTCTTGTTTCTTAAACTTTTTCTCATTCAACAAGAAAATTAGCATGTTAACCTATTGAATAAGGACTCTCCAAAAATTATTTTTCCTGAAAGGAATAATGCAAAGAATTGCTTATAACCAATTTTTGTGCATGTTTAAACTCTTCTGCGTTGTATGGAAACTGTTCAAAATGTTTTTGGAGTTAAGTGAAATGTAAAGTACACATTTTGAAGCATTTAAAGTTGACCAAGATTTTCAAGACAGGTGAGGGCGCCATTTTGTGATGTAAATCATTAACACACTACTCAATACATGTTCATGTTCAAATTTTGAAAATGTTTCTGAGAAAAGGTTGCCCACTGTCCTATTGCTATATCCTGATGCAACAACAATCGCCAAAGAAAATGGAAATCTTCGTATAATAAATAACAAACAATATAACAAATCTAGTAAATGTTTGTGCAAAAAGAAGTTAAATGTCTTGGGTTTTGTCTTGAATATGCAAATTCACATTAACATAAAACCAAAAGACCCCCCAAACGATTAAAACGGCAAACTGACATTTGAAAATCGGGTTAATTGAAAACAGAATCAATGTCAATGATTTTTAGTAAAACACTTCCATCACATGTCCGGTCACTTTGCACCACTTTGTGGTGTCAGATCAAATACACCTATTCGTGCTGTGAATTGGCAGAAATTCAACACGTTTTAACCTGAGCGAAATTCAGTAGCTGGAAATGTTTCGGTGTACGTCCAATTCACTTCGATTTCGGGTTTGCTCGATGTATGAACCAGCCTTAACACTTGTTGTCTTTCCCTTTTTGCTTCCGATGCCGCTCCCAACATCTTTAGCTTTAAATCCATGCAAAGCGGCAGGTATCTTGACAGTTAAACTCGGTAAAAAGACAAAAAGAACCACAAGTCCCTTAAACGTCTTATAGTGGTTTGACCGCTACGTTGTTTCTTTTTACAGGCGAAAGCATTAAAGAGGCTCATAACGCCTGTGTGGTAATCCATTGTGAAACCTCGGTGTGCAGTAATCACCATCGTTGATTAGCTCACTTTGATTGCTTTTGTCTTTGGGTTTCAAATGCAACTGCTCACCGTTTATGAACTACGCGTGCGCAGACAGAGCCTCTCACTTTGTGGTGACTGATTCGAGTCCACTGCGTTAAAAGCCGTGTTTCGGGTAACCATGAAAAGGAATGAAAATGATAGCAGTTAACGTCAGTTTGCTCAAAGACGGAACCCTCCTGCCAAAGCTGACTCCATTGGTGAAGTGATCAACCCTGTGTTTTAATACTGGTAATAGTAGAACTAGTACAGTTTTATTCAAACTTGATAGTAACACGGAGCAAACACTTTTCTTGCTTAACGAGGCGATAATACACAGTTATAAACGTCAGGTTTATGTACTTGATCCTTTGTATCCAATAGGCAAACATTTGGCATCGGGAGGTCACCCCAACCGTTAACAGTCATGTTCCTTACTGCTCATTTTCCACTGTTCTTGTTGGGCGTCGGTTTTACAATTAATTGCATTTTGAGCGTCAACGGAGAAACTGTATGCCCCGATGGGTGGACAGCGTATGTCAACAATTGCTACACCGTCACCAGCGCTACGTTTTACAGTGATGAGGCCGCCGCCAAATGCTCTACCATTGGCGGCTACCTTGCCGTTCCACGTTCTCAAGACGAGAACAATTTTGTGCTGGAACACTTGGTAGCAGCCAACCAACCGATATGGATAGGTTGTATTTTTGATTCAGAAATCGAATCTTATAAGTGCAATGATGGCGCCGATGAAGTCGAGTATCGGAATTGGCGCGCCGACCTAGATGGTTGGAAATGTATTTACATGCTCAACGGAACTTGGTGGGAACCTGCGGTTGAGGAGGACTGTCGCAATGGTGGAACGACAATGGCAGCCCTCTGCAAACGTGCCCCCCTGATACCCGAGCTCGGACTCGTCGGTTCTGCCTTGCGTGATGTCTGCTGCAAGACGCTTCAGCGCTGGCGGCTCCTCATCGCCCGTCTGGCCCGCCACGTCCTGAGGGAGGCCCCTGCTCCGAGCATCAAAATCTGCGTCTTAGCCTGTGAGGAGGAGCCCCTCTGCCGGTCCATCAACTTCATCCAGACCCCTCAGAGTCCCATCGGGGGAGGCACCTGTCAACTCAACAATGCTACTCGTTTCGATGCCGTGGGCGACTTGGCTCTCGCGCCTTGCGATGCCTTTTGTGTGTACGGTGAAAACTAGATTGTCAGCGAAACTCGAAATTCTGTATGCCTATACGTATATCCCAATCGAAGCTTGTTATGAAAAAAATTGTCAGGTCAATTATTCCCTTCAGGTTTTTCCAGACCCCAAGGCACGGGGCCTGGTTCTTTTCCGACTTTGCTCTGACTTAATCAAGTTAACGAGCTACAGGATGGACATTCTCAAAATTACTCAGAGGGGAGCGGACAGCAAACTTTATTTCTAATCATATATAACGGGTTTGCCAATACCCAACGTATATTAATAAGCACTGTATGCTCAGTGCTTGTCCGGGAGCTTGCAAAAAAAAAAAAAACTCACAAGCTTACTCGGGTGGGACTCGAACCCACGTCCTCCTGCTTACTAGTGGAGATGTCTTAACCACTCGACCACCGAGCTTGCCGGGGTTGGCTGGCCGGTCCGAGTCAAATGAAGCAGCGGGTACCGCGAACTATTTTATTTCTGTATTTTCTCATCAGCTATTAAGGAATTAACCCGCTCGCTCTCAAAATTGTGATTTGACGTGTTAAATACATACAAACACACCTTCAGTGAAAAATGCTCTAGTACGATTTTTATTGAAAAAGATCAGTTTCCAAGACAGGTAATCATACCAGGCGGATATGAAGAGTGGGTTGCGTTCTGCAAACCATCCTGAACAATTTTTATCAGCAAAAGCCACCCCCTGTCAAACCCTGAGGGGAGCGAAGGGGTTAGCGGATTTTCGGCATTAATTCAATTAAATTCAATTCAACAATAGGGTATTTACACCGGTTTCTTCCCGTGGTCACACCGCTTGTGCGTAATTATGCAAACAGAAAGCCCGAATAAAACCTGGAAAAAATGTATTTGGGACGAATTGACAAAAACCTCTCATCGATGACAATTTAAAATTCAAAAGACGTATACGTGCGCGTTATTAGGCACAAATACGATTTCTATTAAACCCGTATCAGTTTTTTAATTGCATATGTATTACCCGAAAACATGACCTTTAAGGCACACATACAGGTTATTCCATTTGATGTAGGCCTACATGTAATTAACTCATACTGACAAACTTGCGCACAACCGAGTCATAGTCCGCGTCTGCATGGGTTTGCAAAAGACTAATTAGTGTGCCTAAAATAAGCTGATCCACTTTTCACGCAGCTCCCAGCAATCCATTCATGACGCCCCTTGACGTTCAAGTTCTTATGGCCGACATTAATTATTTCGTTCACTTCTACACAGATCAGCTGAACAGCCAATTTCAAAATGACATGCAAGGCTAGGTGTTGCACTCATGCTGAATCTTGAAATTTGTGGAAATTTTTAGAAAAGTCCAAGGTATATTTCACAAAGATACGTTAATTTAGCACTTTCCACAGGGTATACCTTTACAGTTTATAGGTTTTGATCTTCACTTTTGTCAAAAAAGTTAAATTTACGTTTGGACTTTGTTCACGACTTATGAACGAACGAGCCTGCTGTGTACTTTGAGTGTCTCTTTACCATTAAGTATTTGAAAGAATTATTCGATTACATTTGTGTTATTTTTGACCTGCACATTGTATCACAACACTAAACGCGCAATTGGACATTGAGATTTTAGTTAGGTTGATGAAATAAGGAGACAACTTAACTCTCAAATTCCTGCGTGATGAGGTAAATTTTTAATGCCGGTGGATATTTTTGTGTCCCGACAATGTGAGCGCCCCTCTGTCTCTTTGCCCAGGCCTCCCTGGAAAATTTTGGGCCGTGGCGCATGGGGGGGGAGTTGCCCTCTGGAGACGTTTTGCCGTTCTTAAGAGCAATGCATGTAACCAAAAGCACAAACAAAAACAACAAACAAACTGCTTACTGGCTTGAAACAAACTGCTTACTGGCTTGAAACAATCTCATTTCTTTGGACGTTGAAGGGAGGAAATTTATATTGTTTGTAAACATGCAGTTTTGTTACCCATGATAGAAAAAAAAGAGCCACTGGGCGGTGTTCCGTGCATGGATTGTACCTTTAGAGTGTTGCCCGCATTCATTTGAAAAAAAAATGTGTTTAAATTATCTTTGTTAGTTTAGTGAGTGTAATATCCCGACTACCGAAGGACCTAATTCCAAGTTATGGAAAGTAACTCTGTTCCTTAACCTCTTGAACTTCACCTTTTAACCCGGCTACTTCTTGGACTGTGGACAATATGGTCGTAAATATATTGTATTACTTTCTTTCGATGTATCACAAATGCTACGTGTGCATTTTCTGTTAGTCTTGCACTTGGTTTTCAGAGCCTCACATGAAGAAGATTAAATCGGTGTTCCTCCAACTCAAATATTGCATGTATCTTGCTCAGTTCATTACAGTGAGAAAAACTCTTTGCAGTGTTATGATTAAAATGATAGAATGAGTTACCCCTACTGGAGCTAGTCTTGCAGCTATTCTACACCTTATACCCCCCAAAAAAATTTGCTACCCTGTATAGAAATCTTTTCTCACTCTTTTATTTCATTCTAATCGGACAGGGATTTTCTTGTTATTGACATTATAAAGGGTATGTTTGTGGGCCCTTTTCAGTGTTTCGGTGGGATAACATATTTTTCATACACTAAGAAATTAATCATGTCGCGAGTCTGGATCTATGTATCACTAAAGGCCAATAAACAAGCACATTGGTGCGTGGCATCCTTTTAATTCCATGCTTGCTACACCCTAGTCAGACGTTCTTAATTGTATCCGAGAAGAAAACTACTGATTAAACGAAAGACATAAGAAAAGGAAAGGTTCATTGATTGATATAGGCGCCGACAGTAATTACTGTCAGTTATTTTTTACCCTCGCACGTACGTTCAAGGTGTTCCTAGCAAAATAGTGCGCGTATAACAACGGCAAAGCACCAGCTGGCTGTTTGTTGCGTGTTTTAATCGTCAAAATCGATGTTTTTGTTGATGAGTTGTTAGAAAAGGATTTTTTCGTCCATATCATTTTATAGCTGATACAATACACACCCTTTTTCTGAATAATCTTGATGGCATTGTTGAACAGTATACATGCCTCAGTCGACTTTTTAAAAATATTTTTCGAAGGGCAAGATTACGGTAGCCTATAATGGCATGCAACCACAGTTGGAAAAGTCTGAAGCCTTCATCACCTCAGCAGTCTTCAGAATTGTGTAATTCATAGCAAAAGAAACCTAAACACTGGCTTTTTGTCGGTTGTTGCCTCTTGCTTCCTGCCTGGCGTAACCATGGAGGAAGCAGGGGCACCGTTCTCCCAGCGGAATTCAGCCCCCCCCCGACAATCTATGTACATGCCACAATTCAATGCGTTTAGTGCCCTTTGAACAACTGTGTCCAACTCTAGTTGCCACCCCCCCCCAAAAAAAAGTCGCCCTTAAGTTTCTAGGCCTACTTTCAGTAAGTAGAGAAGTGATCAGAGCTGTAAAGGATACGGGATTTTCTCATTTTCTTGACAAACCGAAGTCCCTAGGCTACCTACTTCCGTCTGCACTGGCGTGTCCTGATGAAGAAGGAAATGGAATGGAAATTCGTTTAAAACTGAATAACTGCCCTTTTTTTTTTCATCCGTAAAATGAAGAGTTCTCATTACTGGTTTCCCACCTCCCTCAGAAGGTAATTACCATAGTTTTGCTTCCTTAAACAAATAGGGTAAGAATTAAATGGCTTCAAAGGGGGAGGGGGATTTGCCTTCTCGGCAGGATACGTCACTGGACATCTGTACAAGGTTTCTATCCTTTCTTCAGAATTTTTTACCGCTAGAGGGCGCACTTCCGATTCAAGAGTCAAAATGGCCGTCTGAGCTGCGCGGAAACAGTACACAAACGAAGTCTCGCGACTTGACAGCAGCGAAGTTTAAGGCAAAGGATTTTATTTAAGGCCTATTTCTAGAATTTTGCCGCGATCGGAGAAGATCCATGAGAATTAAGCATACTGCAGGTATGTTATAATCGATTGCAACGATCAATTTCACAAGACCATCGGTAATCTGATGGTAAATTTACCGTGCTTTGGAAGAGTTTCGTTTAGGCCTACAACATGGTTTACGGACGCCAGTAATCCTTCCCTACTGTACCATGGTGTACATAGGCCTGATACGCCCCAACTATAGCATAAGTTGGGACAGTCCCAACTGTAGTGCTGCAGTTGGGCTGGCCCAGCTATTGTTGAACAATGGCTGTTGGAAATTTCTCAACATTATCCAAGTCAATGTGTCTCTCACTTGACACAATTCATCTAAAATGTGGCACTTCATCTGTTCATGATCTAGCCCTATGACCAATGACAAGACATTTGTAAACAATATGACTTTGGCACATGCTGGGCACATAGTGCCCACAGGACCTCTCTGCTGTAGTTGTACTGGAACCAGCCCAACTGTACCACTCTACATGTTGTACACGATAACAAGTTGAGCTAAACTCGCTCCTGAGATCAACAGTGGATCCCTTTTAAACTTGTCTGATATGTAATGCTTTCCAAATGCTGACAGCAGATAAACAATGTACATATAGTCTGCATTTGGGAACTGGTTGACAGTCAGATGTCAAGCTTGTCAAATACTTCCTAATGTTTGAACTGTGCGCGCACTTCATATGTTGGAATTTTTGAGATTTTTATGTCTTTGACTTTCATCCTTCCATGGGTAACAGGTGTGCATGTACTCTGGTACATGTATGTGCGACGGCCATAACCATGGTACCTGGCTGAAGCCTGCCAGGACGTGCATGCATTTGAGAAGTGAACTGCAGTGTAGACTACAGTGCACGACTATCTGAGTTCCACCTGAGTTCCTGAGCCATCCTGCCACAATGTTTAAGAGTGAATTTCAGGTAAGGTTTAATAACACATCACTTGCAATGAGTGCCCTTGAAATAATCAAAAAAAGAGAGAAATGGACGAAAGGTTTAATAAAACATGTTTATTCACAAGGACAACAAAAATTTAACCCCGTTGTGCCGGTAATTCTTTTGACCGTGACTGCTGGGCTGTGGTATGCCCTGAATGGAGGGCTTTGTCCATCAGCAGGCCCCATTGAACCAGCAGCTGCATGGTGACTGTATGTGTGGTATGCACTAATCCCGGAGCGAAGGGGTTAAAACAAGTTGATATTGTACAGGCTCTAATATAAGCATTATGTTAAGTAGTGTTCCATCAGAAATGAGAAATAAATGAAGAGTTGACAAATTTCCAGTGATTTTTTTTTCAGTCTTTTGACATCCTTCTTTCAGATACACCCAGGTTGGCCAATTCCATGGTACCAGTACATTTAATGTACTTTGCATGTGCACTGCTGAACAATTTTTTTTTCCAAATTGCACAAACCTTTATCCTGCGTCATGGTTGCTTTCAGGGTGGGGCCCACGTGGAGGTCTTCAGTTGTCAAGGCAAGGAACCACTGGCTAAATGGAAGCTGACTGGCTCGGCATCAATTCACAAGGTAACGCAAGGATTCCGCTTGTTTTTTATGTATGGAAAAGCTTCACAGATTTGTGATGTCACCAATCTGTACTTCTTGCTCGGCCCCGGTACACAAATATTGACCATTTTGGATGGTGCAGTAAAACTTGTATTCTGAGGTGATCTGTGGAGAGTTCTATTTTCTCAAGGTGAAACCGAGGGCAGAGAGCATGCTCTGTGGATCACTGAGGGCGGCTACCGGTAGTTTTACTACACCATTCATGAGATAAAGCAGTCAAGAATTGTTTTCTAACACCTCTCCCACAGATTCTGCTTGATGAAGCAATCACTAATTGATTTGAACTAACTGCATCGTACATATGAACATATATCTATTTGAACAAGAAATTTGTTGAAATTTTCCTGCACTTTTCGAAACTTCTCTTGACTTTGAAAAATTGCCAAATGTCCAACTCAACCTAAAAATAAATTGAGTTGGAAGTCGCTAGAGCCACAGAGGAATCCAAATAAAACTCACCCACACAATGTCCATTGTCAATGGGATGCCAAATGGAGGGATGCATCGAAACAAAGGGTTCAGTTTGCTCTTTCTAATACAAACTAAATCAAAATTACTGAAAAGAACCTGCAAGACATGTCGTATGGTATACTTTCATATACAGTCATCTAGTGAGGCATCATCTAGCTATTATTTGAAACAAACTATTACACTTAAACTTTCAAAGTAACCGAGAAAATATACATGTGCATGCTGTGTTTGATAAGATTTAGATTTTTAGTACAGTGCACAGCTTAGGTTAAGAAGTCAGCAAGAATTAAAAGCAGTTTGAAATTTATCAGAAAAAAAAATTGCTGCCGTTGTTTGCAGGTGTATGAAAAAGAGGCCAAGAGTTTTGTGCACGTCTTGGAAGGTGCCGGTACTAGTACCAAGATACAGCTGCCGAAAGACTCCAAGCTTACTTGTAAGTGTTGTAAAGGAACTTCAGTGGTTAGGCATGTTAAATCCTTTGCTTTTACCTTTTAGAACCCGGAATAATGTCAGTCTTCAGTATTGAAGCCTGTCAGTTGTACCTTAAATGTAACTTCAAATGTCTTGTGACTGAGTGTACCAGAAAGACCGCATGTGGTTTTTATCAGCATTGATGCCTTTAAGTTGACAGCATGCCTCAAACCATTGATCACATAGAGACTTTACAGCTTCGTTGGGTCTGCACACACGGTATGGGCCTCAGAGCTTGATGTCACAGTCAACTGGCTGAAAGACAGAGACCAGCCAATTTAAAGACAACCTTCTATGTTCTCTGTGATTTTCAACACAAACGAACAAACCATAGTAGGCTTGCTTTGCTCTGGCTGAAAATGTTGGTTGAACTGAGTCATACCATCATTTCACTGACGGAGTAAAGTCAAAAAGAAAGAAAAAAGAAGACACAGTACATGACTGTGTACCAGTTACTCTATAGGTATGAACCAACACCTAATCGTTTTGCCATGCTTCATGAGTAAAGTGCATATGTTTTCTTTCAATAGTGGCCTTGGTTCAGCGATTTCTGGTAGTCCAGGTTTTTGTGCCTCTGGGCCAGGATTTCTCTGTAGAGCTTGGGTAAGACAATCTTCGCATACATGTATGCCTCTAATGCCCCTTTAAAGAATACACCTTATTAGGTTTGATGGTAAGCTGACTCCTTTGTTCCTCCAACTGTACCTTTCAATAGTTAAATTTAGTTGGAATCACTTACCCCTGAAAGGGAAGAAGAACTCCCTCAATTCATTGGTTTTGATATCGCCATAATGTTTTTGTTTGTTGTGCTTAGCCGTCAGCAGTTTTTTTTACTGATGTTCTGGTGTTGACGCCACGAGAAGGTAGAGAGCAAACTGGCCGTGCCCTCATAATCTCATAAGATTTGGTTACTAGCAGGCTGAACCATAGAACACAGTTTTCAATGGGGTGAGTAATTTTGTCTTTGTGAAATTCTTTCCCCCAGCGTAAGCGACATGGGAAACAACAAGCGGCGGTTACTGTTCTCCACGGCCCAGAAGGAGATTGCTGCCACCCCACTTCATGCCAAGATACCGCTGACGATAGTGAAGAGGGCAGTGGTAAGTAGTCCTGCCCACGGGTCTAGGCCTAGGTGCTAAGTGTTGCATTCCAGTTCTTTTCCAGGGCCCCTAAAGTTAACAGAAATATTGGATTAGATAGTAGAAATCAGCAGCAGGGGCGAGTTCAAGCATTTCCTGTTTGTCAACCACTGGTCGATTTTTAGGCGATGTCCCAGGTATATTTTGTGCATAGGTTACCAGGGAAAAATTAACTAGTTGTCAGCAATGGTTGTTAGTGGAACTTGTTTATTGTTGACCGAGTACTTTACATTGGAAGGTATTTAGCTCATTGGACTCACAACTCACAGGTGTCTCAGGTTCAAGTCTGTGCACAAATGCTAAGACATTTTCAGCATATCTTTTTGCCCTGATTTCTTTTCATATTCATCCACACTGTCATATTTCAAGCTTAATTCTCAATTTACTACCTCATTTTTTGGTATGAAAACTAGTTTAACTCGGGAAAACAACTCAATTATAACATGGCTACTCGTGATGGGGGGGGCACCATTGGTGCCTGACTCTCTCCCACAAATAATGCGTTAATACATTGAATGGTAAAATAACTTTCAAAGGAAATAGAAGGAAAGAGCAAGTGCGAGACAACCGAGTATGCAGTGCTCAAAATGTATACCTTCAAGGGATGAAGAACCATATAAAATTGGTAGTATGTTCCACATATGTTGTAGAGACCCCTTATTAAGACCATCACAAGACTGCACACAACATCCTGTTGAATTCGTCACAGGCTGTTGGAGTGGACTGATGAAACAAATGTATTTCATTGTCGTCATTCACCCTGTAACTTGTGACTAGTATTGTGATGGCCTTGATTACATGGCTGTTCATGTAGCATTGCATAAAAACTTAGACGGTTGCAAACTCAACACAAACACACAAAATACCTGCCTCAACGCAGAAAATTGTTGTTCTCATTAAACAACTAAAACTATCTATAAATGAGTGCCCATATCTGTTCCTCCACAGTGGTTAAACCTGTGCATTGACCTGGTCTCCATTGTCAGTGAGGCATTCCGTGGACAGACGTACAAAGCTCTGGATAGCCTCATAGTGTGCGCCAGCTGTCACCTGCGCAAGATCTTCACCATGAAGACCCAACCACCTGACGATACCGATGATGATGGTAAGGATAACAGTTACTCAAGTGCCAATCATTTCATTTGTGCCCAGAGCTAAATACCATAATAATCTGAAGCTATAGTGGCAAGTACGTTGTGAAGTACAGTTTTCTAAAAACCAGTCGGAGTTGTGGCAAACACGTAACTTTCCAGGCACCTCGTGTAAGAAACAGTCCATGCTCGGCATCTTACCGGTTTGTGAAGCAGTTGGTCCATTGCAAGAACAAGTTTCTGAAAAAAAGGGAAGCATAACAGCTGAAGACCACTGTGAAGCTCAGCAAACTAAAGACTGTTCTTATCAGAATGTAGCCAACATCAGATCACTTGATCTTTTGGACTGATGGTAAATAAAGACACATGCTCGTCCGGCCATTATGTTGTGAACTGACACATTGTATTCATAGCTGTTTTTTCTGTCTGACATTTTGTATGCATTCAGTACACATGTAAGTTTTAATTCTAGTGGAGTCTGTCCTATCCGTCATGTCCTCAGTCAAATCCTTTCACAAATCTAGTCGCAATTCCTTTCACAAGAACCTCTCAGAAGTAACGGGTTGAACAGCAATGATGAAGGAATGCTTTTGTCTTCATTTCAACAGCTTGTGACTAGGCCTAAGAATAGATGACTCATGATGGACCTGCAGGGACTTGTGGACTTGGCTCACAACACTAATTTATGCACACTGTAGGGTTTGCCTCAAAAGTGCATTCCTTTCAAAAAGAGAATTCCTTTCAACTTGTTCTTTTTGTACCAGTAGGAAAGTCTCTTGCCTAGGCGTTGACAATAACACATTCAAGGGTTCTGATTTGTTCTTCCAGACCTGTACGACTGCAGTCCACCCACAAACAACACAGAACTGGACGGCATCCCTAAATCTTGCCAGTTTGCCGCAGACGTGACATGTCAGACGCAGGTGCTCAACATGAGTAAGCTCAGACATGCCGAGTTCAAATTGAGACCAGACAGCAGGCCTTGCTCCTCAACTGAACCAGGTACGGATCAGTGACTCGGTCAAGTTGTTATCAATGTTTCTGGCAATGAAAGACCTTAATCTTGATGCGGCCATGTTTGTCTTGTTCCCTGTAGACCCAGCAATAGTAATAAAACTCCACTTAATATTGAAAACGGGAACAGACTATATTCCCTTCCAGCCAGGTTTGAATGGTAGAAAAGCAATATGGCTGCCCCATGATCGAGGTCTGTTGCAAAAAGTACAATGAAACAATATCTCTTTTTTTAGGGTATAATAACATTACTTTACTGATGTCAGATGCAAAAAGGAGGACCAGTCGTGTTATTAGTGTTTCCACAGTGAATATAAATTTTTTGCAAGTTTTTCAACTCCCAAACAAATTTTACACTCATAACTTAGCATGCAAACCGTAGTTTGAATGAAACAGTTGAGTACTGTGAAGGAGGCATATTTTTTCTGGATTTTTTCAGCTTCCTCAACTCTTCCCCCTGATTATGGCAAAATACCCACCATGCTCAGTCCACAATAAGGTATCAAATGTACTTAGTAATTATTTGACTATTAAGAATCTTGTCTACTGACATCAGTTTCTTTGCCCGCTGTGTGTTCAGTGGATCTTAACTCAAGCATGAGAGGGCGCAAGGACAGACCCATGCACATTGCCTTCGGCAGCAAGGTGCCTGTGCCGGCCATAGGAGCAGGGAAGAAGCCAGCATCAGCCGGCAGTCAGAGAGAGGTGAGTCAGACCTAGGAGTGTCACTTGGGTTTAGGTTGGGGTGTTGCCGAAGCTGTTGCCCTGGCAGGCCTTGTGTTGAGAAGGGCAGTTTCTTTCATGGAGAAATTTGGGATTGAGTTAGGGGGCCAGCAATGATCCCAATAACGAATTTGTTCCTTCTGTAACTACCATTCAACAATACGTAGTCATGCTGAATCTCCATGACTATATATGGGTGGGCCTTCAATGCAATGAGGGGACAATGAGCCAGTTCCGTATTCCAAGAGCACAGTACGACATTGTCTGGGAACAGCAGCATGCACGTGGGCAATAGTTTGTCCTATCAGTGCAGCCATATGCTGACTCACGCTCGCTTTGTTCCCGTAAAGACCTCGGCTTTTTGAAATACCGAACTGGCTCATTGCTTGTGTCGGGAAAGTTGATATTTAGTTATGACATGTGTCCTTGTGACATTTTTTTGACCCCACAGCATCTGTTTTTCAACATGTGTGTGGTCCCCACAACTATGAAACAAGCGTATATGTTTGAACTTGGAAGTTAACTCTTCCGACAGCGAAAAATACCACTTTGAATGAGCATTCCTAATAAACTATTAAATGGTCTCCAGCCTTGAGCCTGTGAGTCGAGTCACCTCTGCCTTGTCACTGGTACTTGGTAAAAGATTCTGTCAGTGATTTAACTGAGAAGTTCTGTTTTTCCTTTTGACTGCCTAAAAATTGTAGATGGCAAATCCAGTGTCCATTGACACAGATGTGTGTATTATAATGCTGAGATTGATTTAAAACCTCAGAAGACTGGGTGTGCTGGTGTCCAGTTGGGATAGCGAATAGGCTTCCCAAGTTTAATGAGAAACGGAATGATGTTCAGGTTAATGGTGCAAGTTTATCTACATTTTTTTTTCATTTGATTCTCCAGGGCAGTGAGAGTGCCAGCAGTAGAAGCAGTCGGTCCTCACACTCAAGGGCACAGAAGCAGGAAGGTATGAGGAATCTTTGAAAGAGTGTGTCAGATAAGGTCCTCACACTGTCATTAATTTTGTCAGGCTGGCAATTTAGTAAAGTTGACCAAACCCAAGTGATGCATGGCCGATAATCAACATTCAGATGTGGGAATTCTCTATAAAAATACAAGTTTAAATGTTGAGTAACGTAATACTGCTTTGAAGTTAAAATATTTCCCGTCCTTCCTGGCATTCTTCCTTTTCCAGAACTGAAATTATAAATTATGTGTCACTTGACTCACATTTTTGAAGTTTGGACATGGGAATGCAAACACAGTCTAGCTCTGATTTTCATGCACTGCTTGAATCAGGAAAGCTGTAGGCCCTGTTAGTTTCACATAAATCTGGGTCATGATCAGTCATTCGTCATTGGTTCACTTTCACCAGAACCCGCCTGATGGATGGAGGGAACCGCGTCGGGATCACAGATCGAAATTTAGATCTGTGTGAAACAAACTGGCTCCATAATCATTGATAAAGTGTGACAACTGATTCTGTTCCTATCAGCAAGATTGAGCAAGCTTCTTGTTAGGCTGTTAAACACATTTTGCTTTTTTGTCAAGAAGTGCTTGTGTAATATCTTCAGAACTGGAAGTTCAACAGATCAATTTCAATATGTGTACCTACGTGGGAAATGTCAAAATCCATGAAATAAGAAGTCATTCAGTTGGCCTTGTAAGACCTGAACCTGTATATGAAACTGATTTCAGGGGATCCACTAGCAAGTGAAAGGATCGTGTCTGCTAAAAAAGAAGTTGATACGCTGACTGTGCACAGCCGTCAGCGGCAAATCTCTGATCCAGGCACTGACTTGGCTGATCTGGAGACACGTGTGGACAAAGGTATGGTAACCGTAAGCTTAGATTGATTAAGCTGAGGGGTTGCTCATGTTTATGCTGTGTAGTTTAAATTATTGCCATTTTGCAGCAAGTGACAGAAATTTTTTCTCCCTTAGTTATCTGAGTTACCAGTCTGTTTGAAATGAACTCAAATCTCATCCCCCCCAGGGAAAATCATAAATCCATGAAGGAACTGTAGCAGTAAATTTCGTTCTCATAGAGATTTTCCCAAACCTATTAATGTCATCTTTGAAAGTGTATGGACATGTGGATGTAGTAGTAAGTTTTGGCTTTGTGTAGGAGTCTTTGTGGTAAATGTCCGGCCTACCCTCAAAGTTTAGTGAAGGCATTTAAGGATTGTGCATTTTTCTCATTCACCAAGGTACGCTTAAAGGAAGCAATACATGGTCAGCTGGGTCAGAGGCCAGCAAGGAAGACAACTTTGTTCAGCCCCACCCTCCCCGTCAGAAATCTGGGGACAAATCCCGGCGCGTGGTCAAAGTCCGGCCCAACAGCGGGAAGCGGGAGCGAGGGGACAGCCAGTCTGCCGGCAGCGACACCAGTACGTCGGGCCGGGGCGGCTATGACCAGAGCAGGTACACTGGCAGCAGCTCTCAGAGGAAGGACTCAGAAGAATCCAGCGACGTCGACCGACCGAGTAGGGTGTCGGACGCCGCCATCTTGAAGTACGCCTCCTCGCGGATCCAGGCAAACGCGGAGGGTGCAGACAATGGGGACGGGGGTCAGGGGTCGGACAGGCCGAGACCCCCCGCAGACAGCCTGTCAGAAAGCGACGACCTAGCTGGCAGGAACCCCAAGAAGGGGCGTGTCCAGAGGCGGAGGAAGAAAGCCGACCGGCCTCTGCTGAACCGGATGGACAGCCTGTCGGAGAGTGAGGAGGCACAGAGGCAGAAGGAGAAGGGACGGGGAGAAGGAGGGGGCATGCCAAAAAGTGGGCGTAAGGAAAAGAGGGAACCTGGAGGATCATCAGGGACAGAACCACCTTCAGGTACAACGAGGCTGAAATGATATGATAGTCATATTGTGTAGTTAGAATACTGCTTCAGTATCATCTGCACATATTGAGCCTGTAGTGCATTTATACCTCATTTATAAAATAGTACAAGTATAATTCCCTACAAATACCGGAGTATTCAGGAAGTTGTTTCAGCTATGCAAAAACAGCTTTGAACAAGAAGGATTGTTAGCCAAGCAGTGAATTACATTATGGAGATATTTTATTGACCAGCTATTGTGCACTGTTTTTATTTGTTCGTTATTCAAATTACCTCTCCACTACAACAAACTTTGACAATTTTTGGTCAGAATATTGAAAGAATTGAATGACAGTTGGTGCTAGACAAATATAATTAGGATTTTTAAATTTACTTAACAGGTGTAAGAGACACTACTGGTTCTAGAATCACTGATGTACATTCATTGGCAACACCAAGGAGTGCAGAGGAGTACAGAAACCACACAAGACCTAAACCGCCTAATGCTTCAAAACGTACTAACAAGCAGACAAGGTAGTAATAGAAATTACTCTTGTGTCCTTTTTTGATATAGCCTTTAAATGTGGGATCTTACAGTCTTACTCTTGAAAACTTTTATTTAGTTGTTCTGTGCATGTACATTGAATTCAGTTTAGCAAAGTAATAATTACTAAAACTTTCAAGAAGGTTCGTGTGGTTGTTTGTTTCATGTTGATGAATCCAAGATAGTGGTCTTTGATTTGATTTTCCTTGATATGGTCTTCTTGATGCTGCTTATCCTGCGGCTGAACATTTGTCCATTTCACTCAGACCACCAAAGAGCACACTTCGGAGGATAGTTTACATTAAATCGAGCCTTGCCAACAACCCTTTTGTTTAATTCTGAGTGTACACGTAGTTGATTTATCGAAACAAGAAAAATGTGAAAAAAACATTCTTTATTTATGATGTTTAAAATAAGCATTAGTAAGAAAAAATTCACAGCAGTAAATAGATCAAATGAATGATCTGTGTTGAGTTCCCTCCCCCAATTTTTCTTTTCCAATTTAACTTAAATTTGCCATGAATTCAGGGGGGATGCAAATGTCCCCTCGACAGACAGTCAGTCCAAGGAAAACGGGAAGATCTACACTTTCACTTCACCACCAAGGTCAGCTCCGCTTAGACCGATCGAGAGGAACCGACACCTGGAACCCAAGAAACTACAGGTAGAGTTTTGAAAGATCAGTGCACCTGCGGCTCCTCTTGGTAGTCTTGGCTTCGAGTCTGCCCTTGGGTTACATGGTTTCAGTGACCTGGATTTAATCCTGGAGTTTCCTGGAGTTGAGATCCTCGACCTTGAGGCGGTTCCGTTTTCTGCAGTAGAAATGCCCAGTTTCTATTGCACGAGGTCCAAGTTGGCGTGCTTTGATTGAGGTCTGAGCATCAGAGAGGTCTTTCATTAAGGTCTGAGCTCTCAGAATTGAGCATAAAGATGCATTTCTAATGCAAGGAACCCATTGGAAGAGTTTGGCCCCTTTAGCAACTTGTATGGTATTGACAGATTTGTATTTACTGTCTGTCGGAGTGTCACCATGCGTGTGTGTAATATGAGACTGTATCACATAGTCTGTCTTCATTCTTGACTTGTTTTGGTCTCCGTTCCTTGCACAGTTTATAATACAAATGAGGGATTTGGAACCAGCCATTTTCCTTTTCTGCCTGTAGACATTTAAAATGTTAATGCCAGTACATCGGTGTTGCCTGTAACGATGGGACTCTTATTATTTTCAATAACAAAGCCGTTGTTGAGATTTTTCATGAAACCAAATGTAAAGGCCATAAAATCTGGCGTCTTACTGAAACTGTGATTTTTAACTAATGTTATTATCCTCATCAGTTACAGAAGATCTCAGAGGGCCCACCCAAGTTTTCTCCGACACCGCCACCCCCGGTGGATGGCGAGTACCCCACCCTCCGTACCCCCTCACCACTAAACAGCATCAATGGAGACAGTCCGAGAAGTCGCTATAATGCAATCATCAGGAGAACGCCTAGCCCCAGGCAGATACGCTCGCCCCATCCCAGCTCATCAGGTATAGACCTCTATATCATAATGAGGCAGCCATTTTGCTTTTCTGTCATTCAAAGAAATGTAACCACCCTGAGGCTGGAAGGAATAATAGTCTGTTCCCTTTTATTGATGTGTGAAGTTGTATAGCTACTGCCAGTAGGTCTACCATGAACAAGGCAAACATGGCAGCACTATGATAAGGCACATGTGAGTTTGGGGTCACTTAGCAGACGTTATGAATCTTGCTTGGACCAGAGGAAAAACAAAAGGTCTTGGTGATTCATGTATTGTGCACCATGTGGTTCGCATATTAAAGCACGTAATGGTCTTGCTCTTGGATCCGAGGACTTGTTTGGAGTTCATTTCAAGCTAGGAGCAGTTTTGTTGCCTTATTAAATGTAATCTATTCACTACTGGATTCACTTTAGGGGAATTCCCAGATCACAAGAGGGACGACTTTGACTCCCCAAAGCCCACTGCAAGTGTCTCTCCTCAACTAACAAGGAAATCCCTGCTCACCACCAGTGCCTTGGAGTCACACGCGCGGGCGTCAGCCGTCTCACCGGTCAGGGGCTCTATCTCCAGGCTCAGCATACACTCCAAGAGACTGCGGGAGATTCCGAGGAGTGACCCCAGACTCTCCGACGTGAGTTATTGTCCCGTAGCAGGACAGCGAGCAGTTTGGTGTTTCGACAGCACACGTTCAAAATGAGGCGCATCATAGGTCATTTTACACCCAGGCAATGTTAGCCTTGTCTGTTTGGCATCACACCGACTCACATGCACTGAACGCGTTTTAATTGACATGACAGACTAGCCTAAACTGCACTTGCTCACATTGAAATTAATTACGTCCAACTGGGAGGACATTTACACATGATTGGCCTGTTTGTTTACAAAGGCACAGCTGACAAGCTTAACAATCAAGCATGCCTTCACTCACCTCTAGATGATATTTATACGCTAATTCTCTGTTTGATTTGTGTACTCAAAGTCTTAGAAGTCTGTTTAGACAGGCTGTGTGTTTATCTTGAACTTTGCCACTGTGTAAGCCGGTTGTAGCATATGTCACTCCGTGGGCATCATCACTTCTCCAGAAATATACAAGGTTTTGGTAAGAAGTACCAATAAAATAGTGCTCAAATGACTCGTGTGAATTAGCATTTGTGGCATTTTAATAACGCTAAATCCAAAATTTTTGGCCAAAATGAATACCATCAGTATTAAAGTGATTAAGCGAGCGCATGTAAAATGGCTAAGTTTGAACTGCGATGTTTGTGTATGAAGAGCAGGCAGATGTAAATGGCCTTCTTTTGATAACAGGAGTATGACTGGATGAGATATCAGTCTAATTCCTCCTCCCTGGCCTCCTCGCTAGAGGCTAACATGCTGGCCAGCCTCCGACGGCAACAGCTGGAGGAGATGTACGAGGAGGAGCCAGGTGACGAGCGCCAGCGAGCCAACAACAGCTTCGACATTCACAACTACGGTGATGATGACCTCAGCAGCTCCAGCGATGACACGGCGACCACCTACAGCACCTTCAGGCCTCCGGTGAGATGAGTATCTTCGCACTGAGCTTGATTTGATTTTGTCATTTCACGTCGTTTACTTAAGCATGAGGTTGTAAAATGTTGTGACTTGAGTATAGTAAAAGTGTAAACGAGCTTGACATTATGGCCGAACATCAGCCATTTTCTGACCACTTTTGGCATTAGGCAGACCAAATCAGGGTTATCCTGGAAAATCCAAGAAAGAAAACTGTCCTTGAAAGTCATGGAATGTGGTTTTCCGATTTGTGTGGGAACAGTGCAAAGGGAAGATTTTGTTGACAAAATGAAATGGCGGAATCCAGTACAACTGTTGGTATGAACATACTCCCGGTAGGCAAAGAAAAAAGAGGACATTTGTTTTCACTAGCTCTGTCGAGATTCTGTCCGCCAGAATTGGTTATTGGGATTTCCCAGAGTGTTCCCCTTCATTGTGTGACAACTAAACCTCATGTTTCAGTAGGGTAGTAATCACTTTCTCTCTCCTTTTTGCCAGGATGCTGCTCTTAGAGCTCACCGCTACCAAGATGAGATGCATTTCCCATCCAGCAATAACCCCCTCATGCAGTCCAACCCAAGGTACAATTGGGATGTTTGATATGTCAAGCTGGCTTGTTTTGAAAATCTTTGAAATGTTGAGCCTGCTAATTGAAACTCGTAAAAATTCCCTCACAGTTATGCTCATATTGCATCTGTTCATTCTGTACTATATCAAACTTACTTGAAGATGAGTTGTCATTCCACACAGCTTTGAAAATACCTAATTTTCCCCTGTCCATATGCCACAAGACAAAGCTGATGTACCATGTCACTCCATTTAGGCCAGGGTGGACATGCGGGACATTCTCAAAATGCCAGGTTGCAACCCCACCGTGCCGATAAAAACAACTGCGACGTGCGTGCGCGTACGTACTGATCAAAGGAAAGATTGAGTAGCCCAATCCTCTGACTGGCTGCTTTGTGCTTGTTACAATGGCTGCAGTTGTTTTTATCGACGCAGTGCGGTTGCTACCTAACATTTTGCAAAGGTCCCAGATGCCTGCCCCTGCCTATACCGCATCAATCCTGCTTCATTATATATATTTCTTAATGTATTATACCCATTTCCTGTATTTATTGCTTTGTTTTGTTGTAGTTTTGTGAAGAAAATTATTAAGCATTGCTTTTGGAGTGATATTCCAGCTGATATATTGAAGTCTATGTAGTAATTAATCATGTGTCCTTTCCTAATAACATACACTTGACATCAAAAGATCCTGGAGTTGTTTTGAGAACATACAATTCGTGTCAGTGAATACTAATAAGGGAGCGGTTCATGTCAATGTGCAATACTCGCGAATGTGAAAAAATATGTTGCTTAGGTGAGTGTCAGGTCCTTTATCAACTGTCCACCTCATCCTGAACGGGAAAACTTAAGGGATCTGAGCGTCATGGTAGAGTCTCTTATATTTCCTTTGGCACATAACGTTCTTATTGCATGGTAACAGCAATATAGATCAGGACAGCAATATAGATCATTGACTGTTTTTCTGCTCCCAGGGACTGGTCCAATCTCTTCAGCCCACCCATCGTCCTGCCCAGCGAGAAGCTGAAAGCACACCAGGAGGCAGTGATGCTGTCACCAGGCAAGGACATGCCCACAGGTGAGGTTGTTCAGTATCTGCCGCTTTTTAGTAAACAAAAAAGTATTACTCCTCGGCATGTTACATTGTGTAGAGCTGTCAGCAATTCCTTTGAAAATCAAATTTGTAAGGCGAAGGCGCAAGATAGATAACTCTGTCCAAAAGATGTAATCACCATAGGTGCCTTTTGAGCAAGCGATACGCCTGCTAGTAGACATTTTCTGGGGAGCATGTGTACTAATCATGTGTCTCAGTCATAATTGGAAATTTATTTCTAAATTTAATCTTATTAGACATAGATTGTTTTTGTCTTGTCTCATTGGAAAGCGCAAAACTGATCCGGTGGTAAAAAGTTGCCTGTCCACTGGTGCAGTTTTTCAAAGTACAGGTTTGGATGTAATTTCACTTGATGTAACTGTGCAAAGCTGTATTGGCTATATACTGCTGGGGAGCCTGATACCGGACAAAAGAGCTAGGCCTTGTAATAAAAGACCGTACTCGGAACAAAAGACCGAGCTGCTGGGAATTGCTAACATTTTTTCAGCTGTGAACGAAGGAGGAAATCTGTTATTGTTTTGAAAGATTATACCATTGTTTAAGGCATTCAATACGAGTGGATTACCACCATGGACAAAAGCGCTCCAGCGGTCCAGTGATGAGCAATACAATACCGCTGCATGCTAATCTGGCCCCTATTGAAAAGATGCTAGCCACGGACTGTGCCAGTTTCGGGAACAAAAAGAAACTTATGTAACACCCCACAACCTGGGCTCATTTTAACAGGCGGCAGGCCTGGCTGAAATACTCCGGCATCAGCAGATGTTGTGTGTTTGATTCAAGTAGAAACCAGACAGTCATTCGTGTAGATGTAAACATCCAGTTAATGAAGTTAGAATTTTTTGAAGAATTTTGAAAACGGAAAATCTTGTAAATCTCCCGGTTTTACGTCATGCAACTCCAAATTCCACCCGCCAGTAAGTAGTGAAAAACCATTTGTTTTTGTGTTGAACTGGTGACCTGATGTGTGTGTTAATTTAAACTTTTTTGTTTCTTTTTTTGTAACAGCATTCAGAACGGACAAAGCGAGGACCAAGTCTACAAGTAGTGAGGACCCGAGCAAGGTGTTCACCGAGAGCGAAGAGGATGAGGAGCTGGACTTGCTGTACGACCCCTGCCTAAACTGCTACTATGATCCAAGGACGGGCAAATATTACGAACTGAAGTGAGCTTAGAAAAAGGTGATTATGACCTGAAACAGGAGTGGCCTGCATGCGGGAATGAAACAGGATTCCATGCAGGGCAGTTATTTTAATAGCCCATTGCAAGTCTCTACAAGTTCATCACAAGTCGTATCCAGTCTGAAACCAAGTCACAAGCCAGTCAATTGAAACGCCACAAAACCATCCCATGTGACTAGATTTGTTGCAAAACTTGTGATGGCCTCCACTACAGTCCAGGTACTGTGCAGTCTTGAAATAACCTTGTATTAAACCAAACTCTCCAGGTGTATTTGTTGAGAAACTCTATTCTTAAACTGTTTGGGAGTCCTGTGACAAGTTCCTCTTATGCAGTCTTTTGAAAGGGATGGAGCGCCGTTGTATTCAGTGGCTGGGCTGCACCCTCCCACAATGCAGAAAAATCTTCCAAAATGCCCCTTGGTAGATTTGGAAAGATCTGACACGTCAGGAAGTAATTCTCTGGATAACAGACTGACATACATGTATTGGACTGGATTTTTACAACGTATCCTGTTCCGTCATAAGTTGTAATGGGACAGTTAGCAAGTTTGGAACTAAACTCTAGAGCTGTGTCTCCCTCTGTTGTTGAGATTTCTTTTGAAATTTGAACTCGGCAACAATCAGATTATGCCATGTGTTGTCGTGGTAATAGACTGACACCTGTGCAGCCTTCCTTTTGTTTGGAGTATAAAGTGTAAGAAAAACTTATTGAAGTTGGCAAATAAAAAATTGTAAAGATAGGGGCTCGTGCCATTACTGTTGGGCATTTTCCAACATCAGTGCCTGCATGGCAGTGCCCAACACATTTTTTGTGAAGAACACATTTTGAAGCCCCCAGGTTTGGAGGAGAAATTACGAAAATATTACGCAGCTGGTGTAGTAAGTATATTTATATATACATAATGTACATATAAACAATGAAGTATTCCGGGAGCTTAATGTCTCAGAAATGAGATAGTAATCAGTAACCAAATGATGCCGGCAACTCTGCCAATTTGAGGGAAGCAGGTCACTACTATTCTTTATAAATCTATGTGGGACTCTGCTCTTGCAAGACATAAAGCATCCACTGTGAAGGGCAATATTTATTACAAAATAGTACAATATACGTGTACAGTACATAGACCATGGTAGCACTAAAGATAAATTGTAAATTTTTTTGAGCTGGACGAGTATGTGCAGATTATTTATTGTCACTCATAAAACTAATATTGCCAACTCTTTCAGCGTAGTATGTATTGTGGATACCATCTGTGCCTGTTAACTTTGCTTATTCAAAGCTTTATATGTCAGGAATGTAATTGTGTTCAGGGGCTACCCCGATTGCTAGTAACTAAACTGTAGATTGCTTGCTCCTTGGTTTAAGCAGGCAAATGGCTGTCAGTCTAAGAGAGGGAATGGCACAAAGTTTACAAAGTGAAATTGCACAATGAAATTGAATTCATAATCTTTTCTCTTCTTACTATAAGGGGTCATCCGTCCTCGTTCTGATGTACCTCACACATGTAAATTACACGTATGTTTCTCTTTGAAGTAATTTGTGTAAATTTTGTGAAATGTACAGATAATAAATTAGAGAACTGCTTATTTGTGAAGAGAAAAACTGTTCTCGAGCTGTGAAATGTCCGAGGTATGCATATTGTATCTATATTTGCAATCTGAGAATTTTTGGCAAGAATTTTGATGTATTTGTGATTTAAGATGACCCGTCAAAGCTACCTTGGGTTAAAAATTGCTTTTTCTGCATGAACGGAATATCCCGTTGTTGGGAAAAACTAAGAATGATGCATTTTCCAGTAGGTTGACCCACTGCAACATTTTTATTTCAATAAAACTTGGCATGACAATGATGACATTTCATATAAATTAACATTTAAGGAGCATCTTAGATCCCTGAATACTGGAACTTTTCACAAGGACCGTTGAGGGTGCATGCCAACTTACACTGGCCTCTATCTCCTACAGGTAGGAACATGAGAAAATGTGTTTGTAAAGAAGCAGTGATGTTCTGAGATTCTTCCTAACTAAAGTATCTCTCTCATGTCCTTCATTTTTACACACAGCACGTTACAGATCACATGAAGAATTAGATTTCAGCTGGTGTTTATTCAATGGACACACTTCGCTTTCTCTGAGTACTCTGTTGTTCCACAATTACAATACATATTCGTGGTTGGATGTATTCGACAGAACCATAAAGCTTGTAACCGTCACATGTACATCTGAATAGAATTTTTAAGTGCTCGGTCCTAAAACGCACATTGCTTGGACTTCAAGAACATCCAGATAGAGTGCAGTGTGTTTCATTGACATAGATTCTACATTGTCAAGAGTGTTGACAAGTTTTAAAAATCTTAGGACAAATCTTTGGTGCAAATTCCTTTTTAAAAGTTGTGCATGGGTTCAGTTGCTCGTTATCCTAGGACCATGTGATCCTTTTACAAACACCCACAAAAGTGACTTCTAACTTAAATAAACTAGAATGACTTTCCACATAAACTTGGATTTGCATATCAGGCAGCATGCACATATTGTGACCAATACTTTAACGCATTTCCTTGTTCCTTAGTTATGAAGACACACACTTGCCATTGCACTGATTATGTGGGAACAGTAGAAACTCCCCGTAATTCAGTCCCACTTTGCCTGACAAGAGGAAACTCCCCCATAATGTGCCGAGGGCCTACCCATTATTAGTCCCATGCAAATGACCCTATAAAAAGTTAACCAACCAACCGACAACCAGCCAAGCTAAAGCCAACGGACACGCCAATTACAAACTAATATGACTGCATGTTTGCTTATCAAAACAACAAACAAACTCAACAAGAAAATCAGTTTTTAAAATCATGTCGGAAATAAGATGGCAATTCTTATGAAAGACAATGAACACTGATAAAATAAAAAAGGGGCAACATTTCCAAAACATCCTGAAAAATCACAATTTTAGGTTTTTGTGGGAATGAGTTGCCTTTCCGTCTAGTTTGGCAAAGATCTTGTGTGGTGATCTGCGAGTCACTGGTGTCCACGTGTGGTTTTTTAGAGCTCACTCAGGTCACAGTGGTCATTACTGCAATCTTACTGCAGATTTGTTAAGATCTGAAAAAGAAAAATTCAGACCAAAGATACCACTATACTTCACCTGCCTGGCAAAATAGTGCAATTTGACCCTTGTTGCATTGTGAGTTCCATGACAAAAACAGAAACTGTCTTTCTGCCACGCACACGACAATCTCCAAATATTCTCTGCGCAACGATACAAGCATACAGTATGCCATAAGCACTGGTCCTATAGGTCCCCTTGGAAACTGTGAGGATACTGCTGCAACAGCGATGTGAAACCCGACTATTTTTTCTTTGGTGGTGCCGTTGTCGTGCTGAGAACTTCATACATGTCCTCCCAGCTGCGATTGATGCACTCCACAAAGTCATCCACACTGTGTGACTCTGGGTAGCTGGTGATGTTCACTCCCAGGTTGTTGCTGTTCATGCCGTAGCCAATCCCGAAGCCGTTAGGGGTAACAGGGGCGAAGCCACCGATCAGGACAGCCGGACTGGCCAGGGTGCTGGTGGAGAGAATGATGTGGTTGATGTTGGCGTAGGCAGGATCGGTGAACATCTCAGGCAGGGCAAAGTCCCGCTCAGCGAGTTTTCTCAGTCCAAACAGGTGGCGGTCCCAGCCTTTGCCTACAGGTTAAAAAGGTTGAAAAAAGGACGACAAATCTTATTTCTGTTTTTAAAAAAAAAACGCCCAAGTGGTCAACGAGAAGTGGTTCATTCAGGGTTCAAAGCTGCAAACTTGAGAATCTTCACCAAAGCCAGCTAGGTCACACTAAAGCATCTATACCTATGTCTCATGTGCTCTTTACATAACGTCAGGGTAAGCTTTTGCTTAGTTACATAAGAAACGCCTTGCAACAATACACTGTTCTCAGTGGATAAGAAGGCACAAACGAACCTGTCATCCAAGAGATGGTGGTCACTATGCAAAAGCTTGCCCTACAAGGTAAATTATAAAAGAACCATTGTAAAATATTTAACAAGCACATATCTTCCTCTTCTAGCCTACCCATCAGGGCCTCCTTGGTCAGGCCGTAGTGCTTGTCTGAGCATGCTTTCAGCAGGGCTCTCTTCTCCTGAGCACTAACTCCCGAGTCCTTCTGGAATGCCATCGCGCATTGCTTAGTTTCCATGGTGGCTGGCCGTAACGTCTCTGTGCGGCCATGCTTGAAGGCTGCCGTGCTGCAAGACTCGTAGGTCGGCGCTGTCTGTCCGGTGAGGGTGTAAAAGCCAATCTGGGGGCAGGAGGTTGTACATAAAGGGAACTGTCCTAAAAAACGGAATATCAAGTCTCCCCTGGGAAACATGATTACTGTGGTTGGCACTGCACTCACATGCTTTTCCCACAGGTTCTTGTGCTTAAGGCATGCATGCATTTTGACGAGTCACAATATCCTACACGCTTCATGTGGGAACAAGAGAGAGGTTTACATGAAGGCAATGGTGCTTTGGTGGAAACTCAGGGCGTGCGTGCACAGGTTTATGCACATTTGGCATGGGGCGCCAATTCGTGTTGCATGCGCAGTCTTTAAGTGAGCACCGGGGGGTGCATGAGGTCCGGTTGAAAAAATGATCGCCAGCTTGTCTCTCATTGCCGGTGAGCGTGCACTTCAAAGCACACATATGACTTATGCACGAGTTGGCACAGAGTGGTGGCTTCTTATTTTGGTCACCAGACTATTCTCTAGGTGTCTGGATCCAACAGAACTGGCTGTTAAGATAAACGTTCTCACTTTTTTGAATAAGGCTTTGTCCGAATTACTTGGCTGTTGCCTGAAATTATGCATGAGTCTGACAGTGACTGCTGCCAGTTCCCACAGAGTCTTGTGTAATTAATTCAAGCTGCAGCCAAGTACATGCAATTCAGACACAGTGTAAATCTCACAATGAGAACACTCTTCATTTTTCATTTTAGCATTGCATTATAGCATTCTGACTAACACAGACATTTAGCAGATGAATACACTGACTATTCCTCGGTTATGCATTTGGCTTCCACTTCTGCTTTTTGTTTTGAATCCCTAACTTCAGATGCTGGCATTCACAATCCACGGAACTTCTCAACATTTTCTCAACATTCCCATTTATAGATCTTAAAAGTACGTAACTGTTGAAGATTTAAATGAAATTTTGTTTTGGCCTGATTTTTTTCAATTTGTTTTTCAAACTCTTTTAAAAGGCGTTTTAAATAAAGAAAACAATTTCTAACAAAGTCAAAGTTGGGTACATGAGTGGTGGTAATAATGATTTATCAAAATTTACCAACTCAAAAGCAATTCAAAACTTTCAAGTAAGATTTTCTGAGATTTTATTCAGGTATGCCATGTTAGCAAACACTCAGCTGAATTTGTGCCAAATTTTCAGATGCCATAGTTTTAGAAATTCAGACTAAATTTCATGAATGAAACTGTTCACAAACATTCAATAGTATGTGTTATGAAGATACCAGTAATTAATTGAATAAATTTCAAGTTTTCCAACAAAGACGCTTGGCAACGCTGCACGAGGAAAGTGGAGGGAAATGTCAAAGTGCACCACATAAGGCCACTCCATGAACCCAGTCCCTCCATACCATTCTGAAGCCAAGTTTACACACATCAAAAGACCTCACCTGGAATGACAGCTGCATCAGAGAGTCTGGACTAATTTCGGTGCTCTTCAGGTAGTCTCGACCAAACAGGAAGTTCTGCTTGGCACACACCCCCAGTCGGCTGGTCATGGCATGGAAGCCATCCCTGGCTTTCTGGATGCTGTCTTTCATGGCAACATCCAGGTCAAAGCGTATCTGGATATGGAAAATGGTAATATTAAAAAAAAAGAAGAAAAACATTGATGAAAATGAGTAAATAAACAAATAAAGCATTTGTCACCCGAAAACAGTGTTTTCGTCTCAATTTTAACCTGAACTCCATGACCAACAGAAGTTCCAAACTTGCAACATATATCTGGAACATATGTTGAAAACCATGGACATGACCTCGTTACAATGTAGTAGTGTTGATTACCAAACAAGATTAACGTCTGCACAGTCACCAAAAAAATTAAATGCAGTTTCCCCCCCCCAAAAAATGAACAAAACATTGCTTGCTACGTCAGAATGCGTTGAAGTTTCGCCAATGGAACATTCGCTCAGACTCAGGCAGGATTGTCAGGATGTATTAGCAGACGACAATCCTCCTGCAAGTTGGAGGTAAACTCAGCAACTTCCTTCTCATTTTGCTTTTATGAGCTCAATAGACCCCTGTTAAAGCTTAAAACATTTTAAGGAAAATTAGACAGTGAGCTTGCTGATCTGCTGTCTTAACCCTTGCAGTCCACATTGCTCAAAAAACCCTCAGGTTTTTACTTTTGTACTTTTGCACAAAGAGGAAGCACAGTCAGCATAACACTTTGATGCAATCCCCTGTGGAGTGCACTGAACCCATTATTTTTCTTTTTGGAGCAAACTGTTTTAGCGTACTCCGCATCCACGTCAGGAATCCACAATGACATTTATTACATAGCTAGTGTGGTATTTGAATCTGTCCACCTGAAGAATTTGATTGATACAATGTACCTGTGCGGAAATTAGTCTGAAATGGGCTTCCAGAGCTAAGGCTAAGTATACTGTCTCCGTGTATCTCCACTGTAGTGAAGACCTAGATCTAGCTCTAGACAACAGATTCAGATGCAGCCGTAGAACAGTTTGAATCAACAACCATTGGCTCACACGCTTGACAAATGTGGAAATTCCCAGTTCTGATAAGTATCTTGACAACGGGTTGCACACGAGCAAAGGGCAGCTTACACTCTGAACATTTTCTGCAGCATCAACGTTGGCCGGTTGTGAGTCGGGCCCTACGGCAGGTTTCTCCGAGTTGTCCTTGTACACCTCATTGAAGAAGCGCAAGACGGCAACACCATCCCCCCAGGCATGTTCAAAGTTGACTCCCATCATGCCATTCTTGCACAGGATGACCTGAATTGACTTGTCATACCACCTAGACAAAGTCACTGTTAATTATTCACCATATTTAGCGAGAGATGCAGGTTCAATATTTATTTATTTATTTATATTAGGTTAGCGTTGGTCCATCACACTATAACTGCTTTTTTCACCAGACCCATAGAATGAATTTGGACTAAAAACCAGACATCTAAGTCACTGGATTGTATGAAAAAAAATGAGATATCCTTCTTGACTGAACATTTCTTTTAAATGTGGAATTTTTTTCTAGTGGGGGATCTTATATGTACATCCAAATTATTATCCTTAACAAATTAACCCAAACCCATGCTTACCTGAATTTGCTTACTGACCATTAAGTCATGCACTACCAGTAAGCAGACACAAAAACAAACTTTAAGAGAAAACATTCATCATTTGAGATTCAAAGGTTTAAATGGCAGATTTTTTGACTTCCCAAAACTCTTTAACATGTTGTAAACCAAATTTAATGTCAACATTTTATCCATATATCCAGCATACTTCAATAGTGCTTGGGATCTTCTTCTCCAGTCCTGCAAAATCTCCCAAAATATCACAGTTGATCTTTAACCCTCCTTTGGTTTTACAGCACGAATGTGCACAAATGCCCACAGTCACTGGTGAGCATGTATTTTCTATGTGGAACTCAAACATGTAAAGTT